TCCATTCCATTGGATATTTATGATCCAAGAAATTGGGATAATATTGATCCCAAATTCTGTGACCTATTAGTGGAAAAAGGTCCTGTAAGAGATCTATTAATAGGAAAAGGTCCTAAAGATCATTTACATAGACGTTTCTCTTCAACATTTTACACTCGTTATTTGCCAAATGGAGAGCAACATGATAGAGATTGGCTAGTGTATTCAAAGGATCTTAACAAAGTATTTTGTTTTTGTTGTAAGTTATTTAAAAAAGGGCCTCAAAAAAGTCAGTTAGCAAATGAGGGATTTAAAGATTGGATACATCTTAGTGGCAGACTTAAAGAGCATGAGACAAGTATTGAACATATTAATCATATGAGCACTTGGATTGATTTTCGTATTAGATTGCAGAAAAATAAAACAATTGATGGAGTTGTTCAAAACCGAATCAAGAAAAAGAAAGAGCATTGAAGGAACTTATTAAAAAGATTAATTTCAATTGTGAAATATCTTGGAAAATATAGTTTAGCTTTTCGTGGAAGTAATGAGACGATCCATGATATAAACAATGGAGCCATCCCAATCAATTCCTGAATCAGCTGAAGAAAAGTTTAGAATTGGTTATTTCTTGAATTTTTATAGTATTTTCGTATTAGATTATGCGAGGCCCAATTTAAGTTTCGCACAGGGCCCTCAAAATCTCAGGGACGGCACTGGCGTTGAGCACGTGATTGTTGGGCTTCATGCGTGGGCAATACTGAATTTAATACCATGAAGGAAATTGAGGATCCACCCTAAAATTAATTGTCAATGGAAAAGTAGCCTAATTCCTTATAAGCCATTCAAAGGTTTGTTAACTAACCAATGCGAGACATTTCTTCACATCCACACATTTTGAATATATATTCTAGTTGGAGTAGAAATTGTTTTGATTAAGGTGTTAAATTAGAAAGACCATCCTCAAGTATGGGTTGATTGGACTCAACATTGGTTCCTTTTATGTGGCTTTGCTATATGCATACACACTCTCCGGCTCGCAGTAGAAGAGCTCGCAGCCTGCTTATAATCCTTACAATTTCATAAGATTTTTGCAAGGCGTGGACATAATTTGAAAATCCAAAACATCATAAATAAAAAAATTGGGGGCAAATAATCTGAAAAGAACGACATTGCATCTCATTTAAGCAGCAGATCTGTGAAGACTTCCAAAATAACCAGGTAATAACAGACTACAGAAACATCTTAGAGAAGCTTCAGAATGTCAATTCCAGAGGTGCTAAGTTGAGGTGCTCATGCTGCATTGATATTCTATCTAAGGAACACATGGGTGAGAACTGACTTTGTCTGCAATGATGCCTTTAGTAGTTTCACACCCTAAAAATAAAGCAAAACAAAAATGATTGTTAATCTGAATAAAATGACAGTAGAGTTGTGTCAAATTAGCTAGGTTACAACTTAGAGAATTTGTCTCTGGAATAATCCAGCTATAACCAAATAGAATTGAAAGTTCAGATTTATTTAAGCAAACTCAAGAAAATGATGAATTGGTTCACGACTCAAAACCACAGAAAAATTTGTGTCTTTAAGCAAGCTCAGATTTATTTCCCCACTGTTTCCCTCCTTGATTTATGTATCACAAACAAAGAAATTGAAAATTTTCAAAGGGCATCAGATGAAAACAATTATAGAACACGTATATACAATTAACTATGTATAAATAGTCCCCAAGGGTACAACTTAGAAAGGGAAAACTATCAGATCAAAACCTTCTTTGGAAAACATATCAAAGATCGTTATGTGTTACCAACTTACCACTTATACAGTGGCGGATCCAGGATTTTTACTCTATAGGGTCAACGTGTAAAAGTTTCTATATTTTTTAGACAAAAATAACTCCAAAAATTAAAATGGTTACACTTGCATTCATAATTTATGGTAAAACACAAACCCCCTTTCATCCATGTCATTACACATATTCATGTGTTCTACGACTTTAATTGGCTCATGAATATGCTACTATTTTTGTATCTGTTATAAATTTGAACCTAGTTTGGGTCTAACACACAAGTTTACTGACATAGAAAATCATGATGTATGAGTATTGCATGTCAAACAGCAACCAATATAGCCTTCATAGGCTAAAATGCAGGTCAAATAGCATGTCCACAGCCATGTCCACTTTGATCATAATGATAGACAAAGCGGCAGGCCAAGCGTTTAAAAAACAAAAAGGAAGCCAGCGCACGCAGCTGGGCTTAAAGTAGCGCACAGACAGCAGCAACTGGTTGGGGCATTTAGTCGAGCATACGGTGGGCGACCCTCATCAGCTCTTTCCTAAAATGGAACATGTCTCATGTTCGAATCCCCCTCCCATGTCAATCAAGACAATTCATGAAGGCAAACAATCGAAAAGGAGTGCATAACCGATATAGGCACAGATAAGATAGATCACACCGTTAATAAAGAAATTGGTCTGACGTACCTCATCCATTCCTAGATCAACCACCTTCTCTTCAAGGACACCAACATCCTTAACACTGAACCGGCTGAGCAAAGTGATACAAGAAATAGTAGACAAAGGCTTCACTTCGAGATCATCCATTATCATGTATGTAACGAGGCCCTTCACATACCCTACCTTGCCAGCACCGGAATAAGTAGCCTGTACCTCACTAGTCGGTGAAGCAACATAAGTAGCGGCGGTCTTCATGTAGTACTTGCACCCTGGACATATGGCTTTAGGATTGTCAGCCACATGAGAGTTGCGGTAGTAGCAACTACTATTCGAACAATGGTAGATCGTGTTTCGAGCATCAGATTTGACATCGGTTAACAAACCAAGGAGGTTAGGTCCAGCAGCAACAGGTTCTTTTGGTTTCAGGAGGGTGTCTTTGTTAAGATTGGGCTGCAAATATTCATCGTTGAGAGTTTCAACGCTCTCATAAAGTTTGCCTAAGCTACCAACCATGGCAATCCTTAGAGAGCAGCCTGATGATAGTACCAGCCGAAAGAGACAGGAGAGTGAAGAGAAAGTCCACAAAGTCCTTACCCGCTTCAGCAAACAGGACTTTATTGCGCGTTGTGTCAATGAGGAGCTTCAAACTAACAGTGCCAGGGTTAGAGGCTGCCATCGGAAAATGAAGAGGAGACTGCCAGAGTTAGGGCATCTTCATCTCCAATGAAGATTCAAATTGGACAAGTTCTCTCCAATAGGCCGGATTATATGGACCGGACCGGTACTATATTGTGCTTGTGGCATATGTATTAAAATAAAGGAAACATATTTTTTGGGGTCGGTTCCCTTTTGTATATAATGCCGGTTTACTTAAAATGGTTAATATTTATATATACATTACTATTCATGTATATGGTATTATTCATCAAGTCATGAATATGTGTCTATTCATGCGTACAGTACCTTTGTCAGTACAGTTATTATTCATGTGTATTATATTGTTAAACAATACGGTATCAAGGAACTCCAGGTCCTTATTTACTTGTCAAGGATCAAGGATCTTCAGGTCCGATCATTTGTTTACAAATATAGTACCGGAGAGACTGCAAGCTCTCATATCATTATCATCATCAAGGATCTTCAGGTCCTGATGTAATTGTATGATGAGGATCAATGAACTTCTATTCATGATCTTTATATGCTTTAAAACTCATCATATCACACAATTAATTCATAAAATAAATTGTTTGTAAATAAATTGCTGGTATGGAAGATAAACCCGCACCATACTTTAAATAAAGGTAAATGTGCGGTTAAATAAATTCATAAATTAAATTGCTTGTTGTATGGACATTAATTCCACACCATTCTTTAAATAATAAAGTAAATGTGTGATAAAGTAAATGTGCTTGTATGGGCACTAATTCTACTCCATACTTTTAAATAAAAAGTAAAGGCAGTTGTGTAGACGATAAACCCGAGCTACACTTTGAAATAAATATTGTTGTATTGGTAATAAAACTACACCATATTGTAAATAAAGTAAATGTGGGGATAAAACCGCCACCTTACAATAAAGTAAGAAAAATATGTTGATGGAAAGAAGAAAAGTAGTAGAGGAGCTGTGGTCTGCTAGAGAGAGGAAGCTGCTGACTTTTATAAGAGAGAGATATATGAGCAAAGCCACCGAAAAATGATAAGCTTTATGTGTCTTTACCTTATTCATTTATTTTATTGATATTCTATACTATTCAATATACCACTTCCTCATGCTTGATCATACAAAGAGAGTTTGTACTAGTGGCAAGTGAGAAAGCAACAAGATTGGAAGCATACACATATGCACAAAGACCACTTTAACTTGGTAATGATGGTCCATGTTGATTGCACTTTGATATGACCACTATATATATATATTGATAAATATATATATATAATACGAATATGGAATGATGATTTGATGAGAATATAATATACTATATTTATTTACTTTCCTATTACTAACCACTAATAAAATGGACTCTTAGTATTACTAATGGCCTCCTACTGGTAATATGCTAGTATTATTAAGGGTCCATTTTATTAGTGGTTAGTAATAGGAAAGTAAATAAATATAGTATATTATATGCTCATCAAATCATCATTCCATATTCATATCATATATATGTCAATATATATAGTGGTCATATCAAAGTGCAATCAACATGGACCATCATTACCAAGTTAAAGTGGTCTTTGTGCATATGTGTATGCTTCCAATCTTGTTGCTTTCTCACCTGCCACTAGTACAAACTCTCTTTATATGGTCAAGCATGAGGAAGTGGTATTGAATAGTATAGAATATCAATAAAATAAATGAATAAGGTAAAGAGACATAAAGCTTATCATTATTCGGTGGCTTTGCTCATATATCTCTCTCTTATAAAAGCTAGTAGCTTCCTCTCTCTACTAGACCACAACTCCTCTACTACTTTTCTTCCTTCCATCAACACAATGGTTAGTAGTATAAATAATAGTGCAGCACAGAAAGTTATACCCGATAGCTTCTCGTGCTGATAACGTGTTGTAAAATAAACGGGATATGCGAGAATATTGAGCTGCACGTAAAGTAAATGAGACACAATGTTTAATGAGGTTCGGCCATGCCTATATCCTTGGAGAGCAGTAGCAGTAACTTTTCACTATGTAAAATAATAGGGCTACATCTTTAGTGTTTACAATCTCACTGGCTCACTGATTTTTCTCTCTGCTCTCTGCTCTCACTCTTCTTCTTTCTTCCTTCTCTGCTAGGGTTTTCTTTCATTCTCACTTGGTGTGCTCTCATCCTTTTTTTGGAGAGATATCTTTTCTACTGATGGAGATGTCTATTTATAGGCCAAAACATTGGCTATTCACTCACAAGCATTTGGCTTCACTCTGTTAACTATGGTTAGTATGTTAACTATGATTAGCAAGTCAGTAAGTTTGTTACAAATCTGGTACTTAGCACGTGTATTAGTTAGACAGCTAAGCTGTGTGGTTAGTTGGTTAAGCCCCTCTGTGATCTGTTTACATAAGAGTGGTCCTTGCTTTGTAAGAGTTAGTTGATTGAAATCAAAACTCAGAATTCTCTAGTATTCTCCATTTATCTTTCTCTGATATTTCTGAAATTCTTCTCCTCTTTCTTTTCTATCATTATGGTATCAAGAGCCAGCATCGCTCATGCTCTTTCTTGATCCTCTTGCTTCCGCTCTTCAATTCTTCTCTTCGTCAAATTCTGCTTCAATTCTTTCGTTTGTTCTTTCATTCTTCAATTCTTTAAATTGTTCTTCGACTCTTCAATTTGTTCTTTCATTCTTCAAATCTTCATTTCATTCTACAATTATGGATTTCTTGAATTTAGGGATTTGTTGCACTTCAGGATTTACTACTTCTCATGGCGTCATCTTCATCAATCAAGGTTGAAGGTCTCTTGGGTATGGTTATTATTCGTCTTGGTGATGACAACTTTCTTAAGTGGAGCTTTCAGATTGAATCTCTACTCCAAGGATATGATCTCTTTGGCCATTTTGATGGCTCGCTTGTTCCTCCCCCCAAATTTGCGATTCTTGATGAAAGCGTTACTTCAGAGGTCACGGATGCTTATAGGGATTGGTTGCGTACTGATAAGTCTCTCTTGAGTTTTCTGATTGCCACTCTCTTTGATAAGGCATTAGAATATGTCATTGGCAGCAAGACCGCTCGCGAGGCATGGCTTCAACTTTCTGACCGCTATGCTACTGTATCACAATCTCAGATTAATCATCGCAAAACTGAGCTGCAGACTGCTCAGAAAGGTGCCGACTCCATTGAGCGGTTTCTTCTTCAGCTTAAACACATTCGTGATAAGTTGGCTCTCGCTAGGGTGCCAATTTTAGATGTTGATTTTATGATCACCGTATTAAATGGGTTGTCTTCGGAGTATGACATTATAAAGACAGTTCTCATTGCTCGTGACTTGTTGATCTCCCTGAAAGATTTTCGTGCTCAATTGCTTGCTGCGGAATAGACTGCAGAAGCTCGGATTCTTACTCATCATGCTCTGTATATGTCTTCTACCTCTTCTCATGGTCAGGTGTTGCAGCATCCTGGTTCTTCTTCTACTGGTATGGGTTTACTTTTCACTCCGTCTGTTGCCTATATGGGTTCTCATGATGCTTCTGGTTTTCATAATAGAGTCTCTGGTTCTTAATCTTTCTCTGGCAATGGTTGTGGTTTTTCTTCTGGTAATGGTAGAGGTTTTGCCTTTGGACGTGATCGGTTTTCACAGACTCGGTATCCAAGTTCCAATTTTCATAGTGGGTTTTCTGGTGCTCAAGCAAGATTTGGGGACTCTTCTTCTAAATTTTATGTTGTTCCAGAATGCCAAATTTGTGGCAAACGTGGCGATACTACCGTGAATTGTTATCATCGTCATAGTGATGACAGTTCTAAGATTTCTGGGTCAATTATTGCTTGCCAAATTTGTGGTAAGAAGGGTCATGGTGCTTTGGATTGCTTCCATCGCTCAAATTATGTCTATCAAGGTCAAGCTCCTTCATCCACTATCTCTGCTATGGCAGCTCACAGTTCTTATATGCCTACACATGCTTATGCTCCAATAACAACTCATTCGAGACAAGAGATGGCAGATCATGTTTGGATTGCAGATAGTAGAGCTTCTCATCATATGGTTGCTGATGTCTCTACTTTGCACAATGTTACCCCTATGATTCCGCTGATCAAGTGACCGTGGGGAATGGTGAAGGTCTGAATAGAACAAATATTGGCACTACTCCTTTGTCTTGTGCTTCTATTTCTCTTAAAATGCCTTCTGTTTTCATGTTCCCAAGCTCTCTGCAAATCTTTTATTTGTGAACCAGTTATGCAAAAATAATCATTGTATCATAAGCTTTGATTCTGCTGGTTTCTGTATACAGGAAAAGACAACAAAGGCAACTCTTCTAAAGGGCTCTAGCCATAATGGCTTATATCATATTCCTTGTAAAGTTCCATCTGCTCGGTTTTCGTTTTCCAATCCAACAGCTTATCTTGGTCAGCATGTGAGTTCTACCACATGGCATTAGAGATTGGGTCATCCAACAAATGAGGTGGTGAAGCTTATGCTTAAAGATTCCAACATGGTTGTTTTAGAAGATGCACAGTTTGATTTGTGTCTTTCATGTCTTTAAGGAAAGATGCACAAGCTGCCCTTTTCTAGTGTTCATGTTAAGTCAGATATTCCTTTTTCTAAGATACATAGTGATGTCTGGGGGCCTTCTCATTTTAAGTCCATTCATGGCTTTCGATATTTTGTACTCTTCTTAGATGAGTGTACTGGCTTTGTATGGATATATCCCATTTTTAATAAATCTGAGGTGTTCTCCAAGTTTCTCAAATTCTTTGCTTTGGTTCAGACTCAATTTAATGCTAAAATTCAGCATTTTCAGAGTGATGGTGGTGGTGAGTATATTAGCCAAACATTTACTGACTTCCTTGCCAGTCATAGTATTCTGCATCAAATTACATGTCTATACACCCTATAGCAGAATGGTATGGCTGAGAGGAAAAACAGACATTATAGAGACTGCTCTAACTCTTTTGACTGCTGCTAATATGCCTGGACAGTTTTGGTATCATTCTCTTGCACATGCAGTCTACTTAATAACAGAATGCCAAGTCAGTCCTTAAAGCATCAAGCTCCTTATTTTCGATTGTATGGCAAGCAACCAGAGTTACAGTTTTTAAAAATATTTGGCACTGCTGTATATCCATATCTCAGACCTTCTGATGTGCAAGTTTCAACCTCGAACCACTCAATGTGTATTTTTGGGTTATTCTTCAGGGTATAAAGGTGTTTTGTGTTATGATATCGCCAAGGACAAATTTGTCATCTCCAGACATATGATTCATGATTAATCTGTTTGGCCTTTCAAGTCATTATTGCTCAGTTCAACGACTGCTGTTTCTGAATCCCAAGTAGCAATGCCACCTATTCTTTTTCCTTTGCCTTTGCAAGAAGTTACACCTCGGGTTATCACAGTCACATCAATAGCTCCTTCAACATCATCTTCTATTTCTGCATCTCCAGTTGTGCAATTAGGTGGTTCAGATTCAGTTCTTGTTCCAGAGGTGGATCATCCCCTTTTAGGTGATCATCACCTGCCAGTTTTACCTCCTCTTGAGCATTCATCTTCGGGTACATCCTTATCTGCTTCTTTACCTATTGGTCCTATTAATATTCATCCCATGCATACTAGAATTAGGGATGACATAGTACAGAAGAAACAGTTTCCTAACTATGTGGGGGTATTATACATGTTTGAATGCTCATATTGAATTAGATGAACCTGCAAGGTATAAGGTAGCCTTGTTTTCTCCACAATGGAAATAGGCCATGCAAGAATTGACGCCTTGCATATGCAAGGTACTTGGAGTCTGGTTCCTAATCCTGGAATGTTGGCAGTAAGTGGATTTATACGATAAAAAGGAATTCTGATGGTTCTATAGTTAGACATAAAGCTCGGTTGGTTGCTCAGACTGTCAGGTTAATACTGAGTCTAGCTACAATGAATAAATGGCAGTTAAGACAACTTGATGCTAAGAACGCCTTTTTACATGGCGAATTGGAAGAAGAAGTGTTTATGAAACAGCCACAAGGGTTTGCAGATCCACGTTATCTTGATTTTGTATGTAAGCTTAAGAAATCATTGTATGGTTTGAAGCAAGCTCCAAGGGCTTGGAATGTCAAATTCACTGGATACTTACCAGCTATAGGTTTTCAAGCTTCACAGTCTGATCCTAGTCTTTTTGTTAGACATTCAGACTCAGAGGTTGTGATCCTTTTACTCTACGTTGATGATATTATTCTCACAGGTTCTAATGAGAAGATGGTTCAGCTTGTGATTGATGAGTTAAGTTCTGTATTTGAAATGAAGGACTTGGGTAAGCTTAAATTCTTTCTCGGCTTGCAAGTATCCTATGCCTCCAATGGTGATATTTTTGTTAATCAGTCCAAATATGCTAAAGAGTTGCTTCACAAAGCTGGGATGCACTCTTGTCGATCCTGCTCAACTCCATGTAAACCACATACACAGGTGTTAAAAGAGTCTGGTGAAGTGTTAACTGATCCAACATTGTTTAGGAGCATTGTAGGGGCTCTTCAATATTTGACTTTTACAAGACCAGACCTTGCTTACTCTGTTAACTCTGTGTGTCAATACATGAATCAACCTACTAATCTTCATTGACATTTGGTGAAAAGGATTCTCAGATATGTGAAAGGTACTTTAGAATATGGCCTGAGTTTTACAGCTGGTGATATGCAACTCTCTGCATATAGTGATGCTGACTGGGCAGGAGACATCAACACTCGCAGGTCTACAACAGGTTTTGTGATATTTTTGGGCAGCAATCCTATATCTTGGCAGTCAAAGAAACAAGGCTCTATTTCAAGAAGTTCTACAAAGGCAAAGTATAGGGCTCTAGCCAATACTACTGCTGATTTGGCTTGGATTCGACAGGTTTTAAAATATTTGAAGCTGTATCTGCCAGATCCTCCAGTTGCATATTGTGATAATCTGTCTATGTTGGCTCTTAGCTCAAATCCAGTATACCATTCCAGAATCAAACACTTGGACATTGATTTCCATTTTGTAAGGGAGCGAGTGCAGAAGAAGGATTTGCTGGTTTAGTATGTTTTGACAGATGAACAACTTGCTGATGTAATTACAAAGGGTCTACATGGTCCTATCTTCTCACAACATTGTGCTTATCTTAGGTTAAGAGAATTACTAGGGAAAATGTTAACTATGGTTAGTATGTTAACTATGATTAGCAAGTCAGTAAGTTTGTTACAAATCTGGTACTTAGCACGTGTATTAGTTAGACAGCTAAGCTGTGTGGTTAGTCGGTTAAGCCCCTCTGTGATCTGTTTACATAAGAGTGAGCCTTGCTTTGTAAGAGTTAGTGGATTGAAATCAAAACTCAGAATTCTCTAGTCTTCTCCATTTATCTTTCTATGATATTTCTGAAATTCTTCTCCTCTTTCTTTTTTGTCATCACACTCAAATGTTTGGCAGACAAACATCATTATTATTCTTCAATCAATTAGTAGTGAGTTCTACCATTTTGAGCTCCATTATTGACTTTACAACATGCAGGAGCTCGTTTTGGAGGAGTCTATATTTTTAGAGTAATGCTGCACTTACCACATTTTTATCCCACAATTCTATACCACATGATGTGGCACGTCAATATTATATGCCACATCAATTAAATCAATTAAGCGTATTTTAATTAAGGCAATTAGAAAAACAAATACGGGAATAAATCATAAAAGAAAAGAAAATATTAAATAATTTTAATTGATGTGGCTGTCCACCTCAGCTGCCACATAAGATGGTATAAAGAAGTGGTATACAAATGTGGTAAGAGTAGCATTATTCATATTTTTATCCCTTTCTTTTTTCTTTTGTTTTTTTGAAATGCAGTGAATTGGGGAGGGGGCACTTTTTCCTGGAATTCGAACTGGTGACCAAGGACGGGGAGGGGGAGGGACCTCACCACTGTGGTAAACCCCTCGGTTTTATCCTTGCTTTTTTGGCACTAATTCGTTCCGACCCACCCCACTCACCATTTGGTGGCAAGTAGAGGAATTGTTTTATTTTTTTAACCATAATGGAGCCAGCCTTCATCATTGGAGCCTCACTCACCACCCGTGCAGGATCTCGTTTATAAATAGCAGCAATCAAGCTCAAAGGAGAACTACAATCAAACAAATCAAACGACCCAAAAACTGAAAATAAAGCTTCAAACTCAAAGCTCACAATCCGAGGCCTTCGAATAGAGGGGAGGCCTTGGGCATAGACTGGTAAGGCCGCCGTTTAGGTCTCTAAATTGAGAGGGCCCCAATTTGTATGAACCTTTATATATACATAGGTATAGGGGTGGCATTTTAAACCGAAAAACCGAAAAACCACAAAAACCAACCGACAATTTACCGCAATGAAACCGCAATCGCGGTAAACC